AAAAAAAAGCTTTAAAGAAATTCAAATGCCCTAAGGTAGATAAGCAGTTGCTGATCAAGTAACATGAAAAATAGAAGGATGAAGAAATTATTGTTGACTAAATTTCTGGGTTTCTGATCAAATTCCTGACCCAGGGGCACCTGTTTGCTTTCGCCCCCCACAGGGCGTACATTGATATTAGCATTATTAATTTACTTTTTTATTTGTCATTAATTAGAAAGAGAAAAATAACAACGTACATCAAAAGTGTGTGGCCAACAAATTTACCACCACCAAAGTTCCGCAACAACCAAGAAAATAGTCAGAAACTAATGAAAGTAGTGGAGGAACTGTCTTCTAAAGATGAATTCACATATAAAAGATTGGGGCTTGGAAGAAATGCCATTGCTCAGTTGATAAGGAAACATATGGATGAGAGAAGAAGAGTACAAGCAAGTGGAACCTCAGATAGCAGTACTGATTTTACAGATTTTGATGAAGCAGAAAACAGTACTCCTGTGGCTCCACCCGCATCAAAAAAAAGCAAACAGAAAGCAGCAGTTAGAATGATTACAAAGGTGAGGGCCATTTAATTTGTTAGCCATTTTGACTGTTTTTAAGCCAACACTTGTGTGGTGTTCCCAACATTAGTGTGAAGGCATTAAACCTGTGAAAAGATATAAGACCAGTACACCTTAGCAGATCCTAATTCTGATGTTCTTTTCTAATTATCAACTACATGTTCACAAGTAGAGAAATCGTTGTCAAGATTAGTGACTTCACTCTAATTTTTTATTTCACAGGTTTACTTAATGCCTTCACTGTATTGAGGTTGAATAATTTATTGCATTTATTGTTTTGTTTTTTGTTTTTTTTCCATTGCAGAGCTGATTTTAAGTTCTGCTCAAACAATCATGTTATGTTACTTGGAAAAGGTCAGTATTCAAGACATTAAACTAGAGAAGGAATTAAAACCACTTGCAAAACAATTGGCTTGTCTGGACTACGAAATAAGGACAAAAACCATTTCATGAAATGTATTACTAGTAGGCTTCTCGAGAAAGTGTTAGTTAAGGTGAATAAACCACTAAACAGTGTTACCAGCAGGGAGTATGTTACAGTTGAGAACAAGAAGTGACCAAGTTGACTCCTTTTATCTAAAGACACATCTAATCATTTGTTGTTGTTTTATTGCCCGCACTTAAAAAATAAGGATAAGATAGGTTTGAACTAGTTCATCGACACAGTTTAATTCTAGTTGCCTTATTGGAAAAAAATGAGTGGTTATCATATTAAGGTAGAACCACTGAACAGTACATTATGTGTACAAGGAGGATGAAAGTTTAAATTTTACTTACATGTAAATTTTTTAAACTAGAGAATGGTATGCATGAGATCAGGTGTACTTAACTAAGCCTTTGTAAATTAAGAAACTTGATATAAGTTGTATATTTGCTGAGAGTTGAGATTAAAAATGTTTCATTAACTGAATACTATCTGTGTTATTATTTAATTCTTACATGATAAAATATCCCAGCGAGGTCGGAAATTAATTTTTCCGAATTTAATTCCAAGGGCTTTCGCCCGGAATAACCTCGTTCCCAAGCACTACAACTTACGTATATTATCCTCTACTATTTCATTAGTGCCACGCGGTCCACATACTCTCATGATAAAATATAGTTTGTTCTGCTATGTGAAATATTAGAGTTAAGTCAAAGTCTGAGAAATAGGTGTATCACTACAGCTTATCAGTATTCCTTTATTTCGTGACTTCACTTAATTCTACTGTAG